TTCTTAGAAGGTCTTTGTTTCTGAAGGATAGCCTTGCTGGGTACAGAAGTCTTGGATAATGATAGTTTTTCTTCCAGATTCATAATACATCATGTCATATATTCCTGGCCTGTGGGGCTTGGATGAGAAATGTTAGACTAAAACGTTTTCCTTAAATGTGAGTCAGTGCTTTTCTCTAACAGATTTAAAAATTCTGTATGTTCTCTCCCTTGCACATGTTTGCAGTGAGAATCTTTTCTGGTCCTGTCTGCTTAGCTTCCTACATACCTGGATGTCCATACCTTTCTCCACGATTAGGGATGTTTTCTGCTATTACTTCACTGAGTATGTTTCTAGGTCCTTAATCTTTATTTCCTCATGTTCAGATATGTCACTGAAATCTTAATCATCTAATGGTATTCAAAAATCTTGAATAGTTGATTTTCTTTCCTTTGTTGTTGCTGCTTTTGTCTGAAAGTGATATTTGAAAGTCTTACCTTCATGTTCTGATATTCTTTATAACACTTGACCTAGCCTTTTGTTGATGATTTTAACTAAATGTTTTTTTGGTGGCTTACTAAGCTCTGTATTTTCAAGGTTCTTTTTTGAAGTATCTACTCCTGAATTTCTCATTCATATACTACATTTTACTCCTAATTTCACTTAACTACTCATCGTTTGTCTCTTGGATGTCACTGAAGATTTTAAAAATCATTATTTTGATTTTTCTACTACCACTTTTGACTACTCTGATATTTTGCAATCTGTTAGCAGAGTTGAAACCTTTGGGTGTCCCATTACCTTGTTTGGGCCTGTTTTTACCTTCCTTTGTTGAGGTCTGTGCATTACTGGAACTCAGCTGGATACCTGTCATAAGACACCTTTCTCAGGAGAGGAAGTAGCCTCCCTTGAGCAGCACCTTTGGCTCCTGACTTGCCAGGCAACGCTGAGCTTGTTTCCAGACGGACTCCACAGCGTGGGCTATGTGAGCGAGTCTGGGTGCAGTGCTCAGGGCGCCCATCAGAGAGACCTGCTTCCCCATGGACCACACAGCAGCGGTTCAGGCTGGAGAGTACAGAAAGCCAAGTACGTGGGGTACAGCCCGTGTGACTACTCCTGCCACAAGCATGGTGGTACCTATCAGGTGACAGAGGCCTCCTCAGCCACTTCTGGTGTCGGCTGTGTACCCTGTACGGCCCTGGCACATGTGCTAGTACAGTGCAGACCGATTCCACAGTGGTGTGGACCGAGGTACCTTACAGGAGGAACTGGGGGCAGGACGGCACTCACCGCCCCTCTGGAAGCCTGGGAGTGGGCAGCTGAGTTGGGGCTGACTATCGACAAGAAGAGGCAAGGAGTGGCCTCCTGTGAGAGCCAGCTACAGCGCCCTGGGCAGAGGAAGCCAGCCCCAGCTGGTCCTGCCAGCCAGGACCGTCGAGACACTTTGTCGAACACAAGATTCCTTTCTGGTTTACAAAAAGTGCATGCTTTTATTTAAATAAAAAGCATATTTTGTTACTTATTTTTCCAGGTAAATCTCTGAATATGACCGTTGAACACAGATGAGTTGAGAGCTCCATTATCTTATCCTTCTTTTCACAGCCACAGTTTAGGGTGGAATTTAAATTCAGCCAATATTCTGCGGTGATAGTTGTACTCACAAAGTACTCCTTTCTATGTCAACTCGTTCAACTGATGGCAGAATTGAGACTACTTGTTGGAACTGATCTAAATACCATTCCAAAATTAGAGAAAAATAATGTTCAAATGCATTTTAATAATAGAAGCCACTGCTGTTTTTAAAGCAATACATCTTGACCTTAAATGTGCATATTAATTGCACACATTCTTATTAAAAAGATTGTAGGACAAAATCAATGTACTTACTGTGAAAATGCAAGCTCACACAAAACCCACCACTCTCACATAAAACACCAGTACACAAACATCAAGACCTTAAAGAAAGCACGTGCTGTGCAACGTTGTACGTGACAGCTCTGAGCAAACAAGACGCAGGGGCTGAGCTGACACTGGCCGGTGTGCAGCTCTCACTCCACTGGATTTCCAGCTTTTCTACAAATGCTCCAGAAAGCCTGTGATTTTCTTTATTGTGAGGGCAAGATGGCAAAGATTGAATGCTCTGCACTTTCTCTGGTAATAGAAAGTATGATTTATGAGAGAGGAATAAAAATCTAAGAAAACCACTCAATAAATTATTCAATTTTTAGATCAATCTGATTTAGCGCAAGTTTCCCTCCTGCTGCCAAGTCAGAGTACACGGCTTCCTGGAGGAGAGGGCAGCGCTCCGGGAGCACCCGGGTCTGCTGCCCTGTGCTGGGCTCTGCAGCCACAGAAGAGACATCTCCGCCAGCCCACCCTGCTCCTGCCGCATTAACAGGAAGCCTGCACAGTAATGCGCACGCGGCCAGCAGCGCTCAGGGTGGCCCAGGGATGGGCTCAAGTTTTTAACATTTATTTTAACTGCTTGTCTTAATGTGCACGGCGCTTTGTATCCAGCAGAGCCAACGAAACCTGACCCTGGTCATTTCTTGGGACAAACCCCTCACCACCAGGGGACCTTTGTTCTCCTTCATTTGTCTCAACAACGACAAAGCCAGGAAGCGGCCTGCCTGTGGACACACTCAGGTTTCACATCAGTTAGGTGAGCACTATGGGCAAAGGAGAGATGGCATGCAACAGCACCTCACGTGTGGGAGGACAGATTAAGAGCCCAGCAGTGCCGTTATGACTTTTTCCTCCCAATTATTGCCACGTTATCATAATGCTAATAAACCAAACACACTCAACTCTAGCATAAAAGAAGTTTCCACTCACAGCAAAGCTGCCTTCCACTTTCCAGTGGATTCACAAATACGATGCATCACCCGCCAGGTGTGGTCAGGCACATCTGTAACCCAGCACTCCAGGACACTGTGGTGGAAGACACACAAGTTCCAGCCTGGCCTGGGCAACTGAGTGACTTCGTGAGGCCCTGACTCAAAATAAAAAAATAAAAGCAGGCTGGAGATGCAGTTCAACATGAAGGCCCTGCGTTCAATTCCCAGTGGCACCAATGAACCAAGCAAAAACCATATAAATGAAATTAGGAATAAAGCAGGGGAGAAGGAAGCTCACAGAAGACAAACAGGGTGGTACAAGGGGACCACAGGCACCCTAACCTCAGAGCGCACTCCAGGATGATGCACGCCGAGGGACGCTGGGCTCAGTGAAGCTGCCTTTGAAATGTGAGGCATTATCACACCAGCAAATAGCCCCTATGTCATCTCCTTAAATCTGGACATTTCAAATAAAAAAAACACAGCTTTTTGTTTTTGTTTTTAAAATATCACCATGTAGCGTACTTCACTGAAACAACAAAAGTCTAAAACTTTGTCCTGTAATATGGCAAGTTCTGAATAGCTCACATATACAATAAATCTTTTCCCAAAGAGAAAAAGGGCCATATCCATTTAATAGTATTATGTGGACCACCCTCTCTTCAAAGCCTGCTATGTGTTTCCCATTTAATTGCAATTTCAGTCAATACTTGCTGAAAATAATAATTCTTCAGAAAATATATATTCAATATATTGTGAATAACTTTAGTTCTTAAAATAAAATGTTTTATATTTCATCCACTATATAGGAGTTTTATACTTTAGTGTTCCAATTCCTATCACAAATTAACCAGAATTTTCTTTAACCACAGGCAAAGAAAGGCTCCTACCTACTGGATCAGAAGGCAGACAAAGCAAACCCTAAGTCCCAACATCTTTGGTCACGGTCACGCTTGGTTCCACCACAGCAGGTGCCCAGGAGCAAGCAGGCAGCAAGGAGTCACGTGACCGCAGGGCTGGCCAGGCGTCCTGGACAGCACACCCAGAATCTGCACCTGCAGTGCAGGCAGAATGTGGCCACAGCAAGGAGACAGGGAAAGGAGCTCCTCCAGCGCAGCGCGTCAGATGGCCGAGGCTCACCTCCGCAAAGGCTGCCCTCTAACCGAGGGCCTGACGACCCCTCGGCTTGGCCCAAGAGCCACAGACCCGCCTTCGCCCAGGTCGTCCTCCATATCCAAACACTCGCCCATCAGCAATTTTATAAACAGGGAGCTGGGAGTGGTGCCACACACCTGCAATCCCAGCACCTCTGAGCTGGGGCAGGAGACACAACGTGACTTCCAGACTAAACTGCATAGTAAGACCCTGTCTCAGACACACAAACACAACACAACACAAAAAGGAATGATATCTGATACCTATTCTAAGTTCTAACATTTTAAATTTAGCAACATTTTCTTTACTTCCAAATAAATACAGTGAAATTTCTTTCTTTTTTTTTTTTTTTGCAGTACCGGGGATTGAACTCAGGACCCTGCACTTGCCAGGCAAGTGCTTATTCTACTGAGCTCTCTCCCCAGCCCTTGAAATCTCTTTTGAGAATTAGAAGGAGATATATATGTACATAACATGCACATTTGCAATTTTTTTAATGTACTCATTTAATATATTCACCAAATGCTTATTAAATTGAAAATTAAATTTGTAATTCATTTTTTGCTGTGTCTAATTTTCTGTTTAAGTCATGGTTAGTAAGCTGTAAAACTCAGATAACACTTCCCAACATAAATTTAGATTCACCTGTTAACTATAAATGAAATTACTATTATTATGAATTTATAAAAATCAAATGACCCACTTATAAAACCAGCTCTACTTTCTCCATGACATTTCTTATCCGCAGAGAAGCAAAATTAGCACATGGCTGCTATCGAGGCACAGAATGAAAGCAAACACAGGGCGCGTGATGGCTCGGTCCCCCAGAATCCACCTCACTCGAGCCAGTCCTGAGAGTTTTGACTTTACTTCTTATCACTTATCTTCAAAGCACTACAATGAGGAACATAAATGTGGGCTCTAGGAAATAACTATGATTAGAGCAAACTCAGAAGTTCTTAAGTTTTGCGATCACAGGAAGAGGAAAGGTTAGCACAGAACGGCAGCGGCGCGATAGCGCGTACTCACGGTACACAGGCGAAGCGCTCCGGAGCGACTCTGGCTGCAGGTCCTCCACCTGGCCCACCTCGGCGGTGGGCCGCACCTGGTCCCTGCTGTCTCTTTGTCCCAGGCACACATGACAACTGTCTGCCGGTGCCTTCCTCAGAGTCTTCAAGTGCTGCTCCACTTCAGCCAGCAGGACAGCTTGGATTGCTTCAGTTACCTGCAAAGTTGTTTTGGTTTTAAAATGAGTTGCAGTGTTTATAAGGTGACTACAAATGCTTAGCACACTTGTAAGAAACCCACAGTTCAGCATCTGGTTTGAACTGGCTTTCCAGAAATTATGTTTTTCTATTCTGCTCGAAGCAGCCTCCAAAACAGCTGGGACATGGGCAGTAATCTCAGGACCAAACTGTTACGCACGTGTGGTGTCCTGGAAGAGTCCCTCCTCTTCCAACTAAGCTACTCGCATCGTCATCAGAAGGTGAAGCAGCATTTTTAAAGACAAGGTAAGTACCTCAAAATAGGTCCACTTCTACAGCATTATTTGGCTGAAAACACAGACTTTAAACTACTTTCAACACAGAAGGTTAAGGAAAGGACTTTAGGTCTTCCACAAGATACACCGCTGAGCACTGGCTCCCAGCATCCTGCGGTGTCTAGGGCCTCGCTCTACAAGGAAGAACAGGTCAGTGGCATGGACAGACAGGGCACAGGCGTCTGAGCCCTGACGCCAGGCCACTTCTGAGGAGTCCAAGCCCCTCTGGAACCTCAGTCCTCCCCTAGAAAGCAGCCCTGGCCCGAGGGGCCAGGCCGTCGGCTGTACAGAGCATGCTCCGCCCACCCTTATCAATCAAGGGCCTGGACCCTGGACCACATGCTCCCCAGGAATGTGGCTTCCCTTGCCCCAAGATATGATCTCCTGTAACGATGTAAATACAAAGATTTATGCAATTTCATTTAATATTTTTAATTATGAAATTTACATGTCATGACTTGACTTTTTTTAACTGTTGACTTCCTTGTAGTTATCATGACTGATTATTAATCAATGAGCCATCAAAAACTAAGTAACAACAACAATGGGATAAAATAAGTTCCTCCTAACAAGTAGGACCCTCAGTCACAACACGTGCAAGTGCACACTAAGTTGTGCACACTCAACCGTGAAGCGTAGTAAGCGCTTCGGGCGCAGGCGGCACGGAAGCAGGGGTCAAAGCGAAGGGCACACGGCGAGCGGGGGAGAGTCCTGTCACGGCAGCTGTCAGCAGAAGGCACTCGAAGCATGCTAACCTGTGTATGCTAAGCATGCAAAGTGTGGCAAGTATAATATATTGATTGTTTTTCATTGTCCATGCTTACATCTTTCTAACAGATAAATACAGCAGATAAATTTTGTTCAGTGAGAATTAGTATCAATGGTTTTAGTGTTAGGAAGAATTTCAGAGAAAAAAAAATTTAGAGCTAGACAGGTGTGGTGGAACAGATCTGAGATCCCAGAACTCTGGGAGGCTGAGGCAGGAGGACTGCAGGCTCCCGCCAGCCTGAACAACACAGACTTAGCTAGACTCTGTCTCAAAATGAAATATGCAAAGGGCTGAGGATGTGGTTTAATGGGAAGACCTGCATTCAGGTCCCATTACCAGGGAAAGAAACAAAAGAAACAAAAAAACCTTAGGCCTAGTTATTGAGGCATTTAAGCAAATACTTACAAGAATCTCTGCTGCTCTTGAGGAATTTGGAAAGTCTCTCTCCTACTCTATATATGAGGAAGACTTTTAAAAAGCCAACAATGAGTGAAGCCTACTGTCCAGCATCACGCATCACACACAGGGTGCTGGTCAAGACGAGAGGGTCCCTGTGTGGTTAGTAAGTGCTCTGCTAATGTCTCTTCTGTTGCCAGCATTTTAGATGCGGTCATTGAATCAAAGACCCTTAAAGGTCCATTAGTCCAAACATGCCCAAACCACATCAAAATGCAGCTGAAAGTTAAGTGACCTACAAAAGACCTCTGGATTTTGTTGAGTCCTTTTTCTTAAGGAATTTTTCCCACTTGAGAAATTCTTCAGCTACTGTGGGGAGGAAAATCTCACCTTTAAAAGTAAACCCTTTGGAGGTCACTGCCAATCTGCTGGTGAGTCAGAGAGTATCTTTTAGCCATCCATCCATCCATCCATCCATCCATCCATCCATCCATTCATCCATCCATCCATCCATCCATCCATCCATCCATTCATCCATTCATCCATTCATTCATCCATCCAATGCTTCCTGGCAGGCTGCTGTCACACCTGGTTCATAGGCCATCGGTGTGGGGATCAGTGAGACCAACAAGGTCCTGCCCTCGGTAAGGTGACACAACATGGAGAAGACAGAAAGAGCGAGTGGGGACAGCAGGGAATGCCTAGGGGCAGAGTGGCCAGAAAGCAGATGCAGGGCAAGGACCTGGATGGAAATGCAGGTGGCAAACTCAATCCTGAGAGCACAGCAAGACTGAAGGAAAGGAGTTCCGTTTGTTTCAGAAACACAAAGAAAGCTGAGGAGGCCACAGCAGGGCGAGAACAGGCTGGAGGAATGAGGAGAGGAGGAGGCTGCAGCAGCAGAGCCAAGCCCATGGAGAAACTGGCAGGCCATGGGGACAACACCCTACTGTCATCCCAACTGGGCAACTTTGGTCTTAGGCTGTCAACTTACCTTTGTTTTCCTGTAACCAAGAATAGGCACCTATGTTTGGAGTGACTGCTGCTGTCTTACAAGTGTGATATTCACCAAGCTCATGAAACAGAGTAAAATTCTCTGAAAGGGTACTTAGTGAGAGGTGCTTACTGTGCCAAGCGTGAAGCTACAGCAGGCTCTAGAACCAAAGAAGCTTTACAGAAAGGAGAACTCAGACCTGAAGAAATCCACTCTCCCAATCAGCTCCCAGGGACTAGGGAGAGAGCTTGGTGGCCTAAGCGCCTGCTTGGCACGTGCAAGGACCAGGGTTTGATCCCCAGTACTGCATGCTATGCCAGCCCCAGAACGGGGCGTGGTGGTACACGCTTGTAACCCAGTGCAGGGGAGGCTGAGACAGGAGGATCACTACGAGTCTGAGCTACATAGTGAGACCCTGTACCAAATAAACAAATGATAAAAAGATTAAAAACAAACAAACAAACAAACAAACAAAAAATCAGCTCCCAGACTGAGAATTCTCAGGATGGAAAAAATGTTTTCTGATTTCACATAAACAAGTTCCCAAGCAAAGAGACATCCACATCTGGGCACATTTTGAAATGAAAAAAGTCAACTCCATCTTCAACTGAAACCCTTACTGGCAAGAAGCCGCCAGCTATGGCATGAGCCATCACCCCAGGAACTGACGCCTGTGACAACTCATGTCTGCCCATTCCTGTCCCCGCATCTGGCCCTCACCAGGAGCCTGGGGAGCCCACCTGCGGACCAGAAGCATGCTCACGTGTACCCCAGGGGAGGGTTCCAAGGAGCCCGGGCACCAAGGAACTGCCTGCAACTTTCAAGGCATGAACGAGCCGTACCTGCACAGACTGGTCTCGCCAACAGGAGATCAGCTTCACCAGCGAAAGGTCGCGTTCGGGAGGCGGAGAGCCGGTCCTGCCTGGAACAAACAACATGTTCACATCTCCGATGCGCAAGCTGACGGGGCCAGGATCCCCTCGGCCCACTCACTGCACATCACACCAGTGGGAGGCCAGCCTTCACAGCGCAGGACCAGGCCCCGGAGCTGGCTTCTGGGTTTGGATGTGGTTAAGGGGTGAGGGTGGCAGGCATGCGTCTTCTGTCCAAGTGTCACAGGTGATTTTCACTGCAGCCAGCGTCAAGAAACTTAAACAATTACACTGACAAAGTTTGCGCCCAATCACATGCACTTGCAGCTTCGGAAAAGCACACCCAGGTCAGTACTTGCGCACGCCGCGGGATGTGCACTTAGGAAATACTACCATGAGTGAGTCCTTCCTGTTCCTTTACCTCCCACCTACCAATTAGCAAAATCCAACACAAATTCACGTCTGCCTAGTCTTTCTCGGCACGTGAAGTGCTATGAAGGCAGCCTAGCAAGGAGGCTATTACTGGGCGCTTCTGCGGGAAGTCAGAGGACCGGCGGGCTTCTGGCCAGGGAAATCAATTCTACATCTCTGCAGACATGTCTATGGCAACCTCATATTCTAACTCCTCTCCTACTGTTATGAAAAAGCAGCAATTCAGCAAATAACCCCACCACATGCACATGCAAGGAGAAGACAACACCAGAGGAACCCACACAGGAGGAGCACCATGTCAGCCCCAACGTGAGGAGTGACCCATGGAAGGCGGCCGAGGAGAGCGTCAGGATGGGCTCAGGTGGGAGCATGGCCCCTGCGGCAGGAGCGTGCCATGCGCGAGTCCCCAGGCCTGAGGGGCCCAGGTCCTTGGCTGCACTGCAGGGCTCCTCGGCCTCAGTGGAGTACAGCCCGGCGCGTGGTCTCTCACACTGGGCAGCACCACCAAGAGCTGTCCACAAGCTCCCGCTCGGAGACATCACAGGCCTCTCTCCAATCGTTCTTCCGGGGCCTCAGTGCACCCCACTAACCAGGCCATGCTCTGCACTGCATCCATCTCAAGCTCGGACCCTTCTCCTTTACATCGCGGTACGAGGTACTTGGGAAGGGGCTAAAGCCACCCAGGGTACCTAAGTACTGGGCATGAGCAGACCTCAGGCCTCAGCATGCTGCGTGCTCCTGCCTCGCACTGTGTATTCACTGCACAGCCTTGAGTTCATTTCACTCATCTGTTATTCACACACCAAGCCAAGGATTGTGGATGTCATCCCTTCTAGGTATGGCCCTAGGAACTGACTAAAACTGCTGAAAACAGAGCCCCATGGAGCCTGTAGCTCAGCAGGAAGAGAGAGATGACAGAAGGGAGTAACAGGTATTTATGAGGGATGGAAAGGGCCTGGGAGAAGAGCGCACTAAGGGACAGCACGAGCGAGCAGTGGGGGCTTCAGAGCTTGAGAGACCTTGGAGGACGAGGATGTGAAGAGAGGCTGTAGGGCAGAGGAAGAGGGCATGAGGTCACCACGCTGCCAGTCCTGCTGCTCCAGAAGGAGCGGCGAGTCTAGCCCCTGGAGAGCAGCAGGTCCCACAGGCCACATCCTGTGGCTCCAGGTCTGGAGGGAAGAGCCTGCGGCAGTGGTAGGCACAAAATGAGGATGTGACTTAGTTCCTAACGCAGCACTCTGCTGCATGGGTGGGAGTGTGTGGGAGGAGCCCAAGCCCTGCCAAGTGTCCAGGCAGGGATCCGAGGTGCTGCAGGCCCACCTGGGAGGCAGGAGGTGCCCCATGCTTAAGGGGGACCCGCATGGTCCCTAGGTGGCTGGGTGTGGGGTGAACTGGAAGAGAAGGCAAGACGTGACAACCCCGGTTTCAGTGTGAGCAGCTGGAGTAGTGTCACCTGCCGGAGGCCAGCGGCTGGGCAGAGCAGGCAGGGACAGGTGTGGCCATGGGTGCGGAGAGCAAGGCTCAGCACGAGGTCCTTACTGAGAGCTTAAGGCTGCTACACAGAAAAGCAGCCTTCTGGCACAGCAGGCAACGACCTCACACAGCATCCACGGCTTGACAGTAAAGACAGTGGGGAAACAAACTGTAATAAGCTTCATATGCTCTTAATGTAATCTACTTCTTTAGTTGAAGTTTCAGATATTTGGGCACTTAAAAAACATCCTATCATGAAATATATGTTTTACTTGATATTATTTTAATTGCTATCATTATACAAGTATTAATATTAATTTTTTCATAGGTCAAAATAAATCAGATCACATGCATGTACAAATTCCTTACCATTTCTTAAGTGACTATAGAAGCTTGAAATAGGCAAAATATCATTTACAGGACTCTTCACTTTATGTATAGATTCCACCTTGAAGGATCTGTTGGAAAAGATTTAAAGGAGATTAACTAAAAGTATGAAAATTACCTTGAGAACATAAATTAAAGATATGGGTGCCCAGCCCTCTTAAGCTGGAAAATGAAGGTGGGTGCTCTGGCAGTATTTCCCACATTACCCTCTTTCCTGAATCTCAGTTCCCAACTTGCTCCACCTAAAATCTTATTCTCAGTTGACTTGCAAATCCTCACTTTCCAGGTATCCCTGTGACCCCTGACTTCCAGCACATCAGGCTTCTGGAGTGCCCACGTTCCCCCAGGACCTCTCAGAGGCCTCCACTTCCGGTCCTACCACCATGCCTACAGTGACTTCTCAGCCCCTGCCACCCAGTAAGAGGCAGTGGCTCAGCCCTTCGTTGGCAGAATTTGGTATGACATGTCTGATACTCTTTTGAGTTTTCTTTTTAAAAAACAGGGCTCGAACTGTGGCTCCGATTTGGAGCGAGCGCTTTAGACAGGCAGACCCTCACCTCAAATGCCAGGTGCCACCCGTTGGTTCTAACAGAGATTTTGAAAGAACTAACTCATGCCTGGCGACAAGGTAAAGGCTCCTCAAGGGAAGGCGTGCTGAGCACCACGTGCCCCAGGCAGGGACCCACATGAGCTGTTTGTCCTGTATAGGGTGAACTGGGGCAGACATAACCAGTCTCAGGTGGGCTCATCTCAGGAGGGTTCCATGCACCATGATAGGAAGAGAAACTGCTAGCAACCCAAGGCTTAGAACTGGGAGAAATCCTACACCCACACCCCCAGGTTATTTTGTAAATAAGGAAGGTGAGGCCAAGTGACTTCCCTGTCACAGAGCCAGTGTGACAACACAGGGAGTGGTCCCAGGCTAGACTGCAGGGTAACAGCTTTGTTTCATCTTACTTTGATACTGTATGCTTTTCTTAACAACAGGAACACAGGTTGGTTTTGTATTTTTTTTAAAGCCTATCTGAAATAATTTATGAAATAGAATTAAGCCCTTAAAATGAACAAAAGAAAATATAAAGGAAAAAAATTACAAATGCATATTTGAATCATAGAAATCTATCAGTCTGTTTTCTATTAGAGCCTACAAACTGAAAATTAAAATCTGTGTAACCGAGGAGCAACGTAACAGACAGAAGGTGACACTGAGTCCCACAGTCCCAGTGGACCTCTGAGGGCCGCAGGCTGCCCACGGGCAGTGGCTCAGTCTGCCCGGTCCCCCGGCACGGGCTTTGGAGCTGAAGTCTCATTGGCCCCGGGAGGGTCAAGGCCATCGATCCCCACTGCACCCTGGGCCACTCATACTGACACAGGCTTCCTGTCGGGGTCAGCCCATCCTGATGTTCTCTTTGCTGCCATCGCCTACACTGCTTATTTGTGCTGCCACTGTTTCCCTTTCCTATTTTAGGGTTTTTTTGAGCAGCATTTTTACCTTTGGGTGAGTTGCTACCCAAAGCGTAATTGCTAAAATATGTCTTCCGTCAGCCACTGCTGGGGACTTGGCTTGTTAATAAGCACTTAGTGAGTTCAACTCTTAGCATCAGGCTACAGAAAACTATGTGAGACATTTCAGGGGAGCAGCAACCACACGGAGCTGTGTCCCCACTTCCCCGGCTCTGGGGTCAGAATGGACCACTCCTGGATCGGCCTCAGGGGCTGGGTTCACCTTGGCTTCTGTGCTCTCTGAAGGTTCAAGTTCTCATTTGTACACTAAGCAAAACAATGAGACCTACACCCGGCTTTGCCGTGCATGCTAAATAAATGTACCACGTATTACGCAGCGAACAGCAAACCTTAAGCATTCGAGCAACAGCAGCTCCCATTAAAACTAAACTACTTTCCACAATGTACTATGGAGAGTCTCTACCACATGAAGTAGGACACGAAGAACTTGGAAACACTTCCCTCCTGATAATGTCTGAGCTATGGATTATAAGAATTTATTATTTTTGTTCACAATTCATGCCAAGTATAAAATGGAGCTGAAGTCTCACTGGCCACGGGACAGGGGCCAATACTCAATGTACCCATGAGAATTTCTGTCTAGTGACTCTACCTGTCTAGCGCTGTGACTGGTATATATTATGATAACAATGAATATTTACTGAACATATGAATCTTAAAACATATGAATGCGAGGCTAAATTATCCACCAACTCTAACAAATTAATGGGAAGATTTTCTTAAATGTATTTTGAACTGAAGAAGTTGCTGCATATGTATCTCCATAGGAAGGAAGGAAGGAAGGAAGGAAGGAAGGAAGGAAGGAAGGAAAAAGGGAAGGGTAGGAAGCTGAACAGAGCACATAATGCCCCCAGATGGAACAGTCCAAGTCTTTTGGTGTCTTACCTGTCAACTTTACAGGCCAATTCTAAAGGCATGTTAACTAACTTAGTCACTAAAAACAGTCTGCTCAATAAGTAAGTGATGGTATTTGACTCTTGCCAACTATCACAATCATTTTCTAGCCCTCTGGATATTCCTAAGTGGCTTGGCAGAGTGGCTGTGTATTTATTTGACAAGTCCAAAACTTTTCTGGAAAATAAATTCACCCCCGAGTATTCTGCCTTCAATCCCGTGCTGCACAGATCCCCGCCAGGCAGCATCAGCGAGAAGTGGTCCTCGTTGGAGGCCAGTCCTAGAGACACTGGGCCCTGCAGCCTGGAGATGTTGAGGTGCCTGACGCAGAGGCTGTCTAATTCCCTGTCCACGCCCCAGGGCAGGAGGCAAGACAGGAACAGCTTGGCCGTGTCCAGAGTGAGGCTGGCATTCACTCTGCCAGACAGCTGAGGAGGTGTCCTTTTGGAGCTCTTCCTCTTCTTCTGCCATTTAACACCATCACTTTCCTCCAGGACTGTGGCAGCGCTGTCGCCTTGGGCCAGGCCCACACTGGGGAGCTCGGGGCTGGCAGGCCCCCAGGCGGCTCTGCTCCTCCGTGTGGGCACCGCCCTCTTGCCCACCGTGCTCCGGGCTCTCCGCAGCAGGTCCCTGCCGTGGAAGGAGCCGGTGGGGTCAGCATCGCCCGGGGCAGCGGGTAGCAAACGCTCTGTGAGGGTCTCCAGATCAAACAGAAGAACGTGGAAGCCAACATGGCTCCATCTCGTTTTCACGGGCAAGAGGTTAAAGGGCCTTGGGGAGGAGCTGGCAGCCACAGCCTGCGGAGGAAAAACAGCCACGCATCAGAATTCTTGTTTTATTACGCTGCTCCCTGAAAGGCTCCATAACCTCAGTGGGCTTAAAAAGGAAGATTTACACATAACTAAAGTCAAGACCTATCAACCTGTCTTACCTACTGAAATTTCTTTCTAAATTAAATATTGAATATATTAATGTTCTTTGAAATCCTGGCTTTTCCCCAGTTTTGCCCCCCATGGCCAGCCTGATCTAGACACCCGGAGAGGACAGCAGCGGCTTCACGTCCCCTGCCACAGCTACACCTTCCCGCCACAGGCACAGGGACATAAGAGGCAAAGGTGACGACAATGAGGCCAGCAGTGAGAGCGCCCCAAGCACTTAGGAAGCATTTTAACATGCTGGTTCTTCCTAACCTGCTAAAATTTTAAATAAATAGAAATAATCCAATTGTTAGCCAATGTCAGATCAAAGACAGAACAGAGCCCTCACTGGGAGACTCACATTTGATTTTATCTTGAAGACAGGAGCACCAGGTTCCCAGAATTCACTTACAACCTGCTCCCCGGAGGCCTCCCTGAATGCCCTGTCCCCTCACACCACTGTCCGTTCTCGTCACGGACACCACAGGGACAGGCACTGTGCGCCCAAGCTCTGCCTGTGGAGACGTTTCCCACACTGCCCCTCCCGAAGCGTACAGGCGAGACTGCTGCACGGCGTCAGTGGAGCCCGCGCCGCACCAACAGTTCACATAATACAATGACACAGCAGGCACGTATTTTTAAATGATAATGTAATCTGTTAGCTGCTAAAAACAATGTCTGTATGGCAAAAAAATGCTCCTGTAAAATTATAGGTGTGCTTAAATAAAGGATGTTTTAGAATACTGACACATATATAGTGCACGCACGTACGCAAACACGCGCACACACAGTCTTTGTCTGTATTTAAGAGGTTGTTTATTGATTTGTCTGAAATTTGTATGGTGAGAAATTTATTTCATAATCATAAAAGTTTTAAAATTGATTAAAATTGTAAATAAAAATGGGGAAATATAAAAAGCATCTTTTTTCTACCAATAAGACAATACAAAGATTACCTAACTATTGACAAATGACTTTCAAGTCAGTAGCAAAGTGCCACACCACTGGAAAACATTTAAAGAACATCAGTAGCAATTCGCAACGAACAATATTCAAATTAAAATATGCAAAGTGCTTACCATAAGTAGCAATCAAAGAAGAAAAATTAAGAGTTCCACTTAGCAAGGAGAAAAGCTGGGAAACAATGACAGACAGGGGCAAAGCCATGCATTTGTACGCAGGAGATGGGTGGGGCAGTGATCCTGGGGGACATCAGCAGGTTTTTGAGACTAGCGGTTGGCTGGTGAGACGCTCACCCTGACTAACTGTATATGCTGGTGCCCGTGAGCCAGGCGGCTGCACTGAGGATGGTGATGTGTAATAGAGGGGCCACGCTTGGAGTGCCTGCCATCCTGGTCTTCTAAATATGCTCTTCTTGTCATGACATACCAATTATTGCCATAATGTCTCTCAAGTAAAGGTTTTATTTATTTATTTTTATTTTTTTCTTTTTAAAAAAAGGTAATAAATGAAAAAAAAGACGAATAAAAAAATATCACAGGTCTGTCCTGTTACAATGCTATACATGGTTAGATTTTTAAATTTCTTTGTAAAATATGTAAATACTTATTTCTACTTTTTTAAAATTATTTCTCCTTCATATTCTGTAAGGACTTAAAGTTCAACATATCAATATTTGATGGAAAAATACCTGTTTCATGATATGCCAAAGATGTTTGATATTTAGACAGGGTAAACCAAACTACATACATTGCAGGTTACTAATAAGCTTCTCTTCTGGAGGGTTAACAACCTAAGTTAGCAGAACAAAATTGGAGAAAAGGAAGGGCTGCAAGGTCAGTCAACATTTTGGCCCTAGCCTTTCAAGGTCAGTGAAGAGTCGGGACACAGGAGAACCTGTATTGTAATCAGGTAACTCAGTTGTGCTCCAAATTTTCTAATCAAGGAGATTATGGGGCCACAGAGCAATGTGATCAATGATGTATAGTGTGCCTGGGGAGAGTCACATGGAGAGAAAACATTCTCTCAGGCTTTCACAGAGAGCAAACTGGTCAAGCAATGGCCGTGACTCATCCACATGGCTGACAATGACA